AGTTATATAAGAAAGACTTTAAATCTAACTCTGATAAAAAGCTTATATTCTCTTCCTAATACAGTAAACATATATCAATATAAATCTTTATTGATACATAATATCTAGACAGATATTAAGTATTTTCTATATATGAAAATATATACAATTGAAATTAAATATTATTATATTTTCTATATATAGAATTAATACTATCTATTGACTATTTCTAATAATAGCTTACCTATTTATCTTTATTAATTCAATTATGTGAACTTATATCATAAAAGTGAATTCATATTTCAGGTAAAACAAATTCAGAAGTGAAAAGTCTTGCTATTAGTTTAAATATATCTTTCTGCTAGATCCAAATTTAGCAATCTTGTGGCTACTTATAGTTGAGATACATAAAGTATTATTATAGAGACTAATCCCAGTTATTTCAGTTATTTGTTATTATTAATTCTTGAGATGTACTATTAGCATAGCATAATATAATTATTCTTATTACTTGTAATTATAATATTCTTGCTTGAATTTCTAATTATTCTTGTTTTGATCCTCAATAGGCTCACTTGGCTTAACAATTTTTATTTATTCTTCTTATTATCTGTGGCTAATAGTCTTGTCTTATATGATTTATATGTTTAAGCTTAGAGAATATTAGTGTCAAGATAAATCTCAAAGCATCAGATTGAAATAGACCAGTTTAGGATCTACCTCTTTATATTGTATAATAGAGTTTACTGTATTAGGAAGAGAATATAAGCTTTTTATCAGAGTTAGATTTAAAGTCTTTCTTATATAACTTTTTTTGCTTTGATTTATTTTTTCAGTTCATAATTGTTAAAAAGATCAAAGGTTCTATTTTTATATAACCTAATTAAAATTTGATTTGAATTTGAATATTTGAATATAACATTTGTAAAAAAACTAGTAAATTTATAATAAAGGATAAATTTTATATATTTTGTTTCTATGAGTATTGAACTAGAAACATGTATTTAAAAATCTAGATGCATTATTCATTATGCTATAGATTTACAAATTAATAGTTAATAATTTTTCTTGGGTTTATTTAAGATAATAATAATATAAGTTTTATTAAGTTATTATTTTTTTGCATATTAATTATTAAGATTGTTATAAGGTTTTATAATTTTAGAGTATTAGATATTTAATTTGTTATTATGTCTTATTTAATAGTCAAAGAATATAGGTTTATATAGAACTCTAAAAAGTACTGAACTGGTATTAAAGTAATATCGAAATTATACTGATCTATAATAAATTTAATATATGGGTTGTGATCCACTTATATGAATTTATAGAAAAATTAAATATCGAATTGATATTGAACAGATATCGAAGTGGTACCATTAGGAGCCCTAGGTTTATAGAAGAGTTATAAGTAATAATATATTAGATTTACTAGATATATTAAGTAATTCAAAGAAAAAAATCAAAGCTGGAATCATATTAATCTAGAGTTATAATATATTTAGGTAAAAGTTTTGAAAAGTAAAGAAATTTTTTAAGTTTCCATTTATATTTTTGTCTTCTAAGAGAAATAAATTAATATAACTAAAAACTCTTTTCCACACAATAAAAATTATCTTTTTAAGAAAGTTTGGAAAATAACAAGAAAGTGAAAAGGAAAATAGGCATCAGCCAAGCAACAATATTGAATGAAGAAAAAGGAAGAGAAACAGAAAGAAAAACAATAACAGCATTCAGAGAAACAAGAGTGTTAACAATTACCATTGTTAAAAGAGAACCAGGCAGATCCAAAAGCTTAGATAAAGAAAAAAGGAAAATGGTATCAGTACGAGCAACAAGCATAGACATAAAGAAATGGGGAAAAAAAGAAATAGAAGAAGAGGAGGAAGCAATAAAGGAAGAAATACAAGAGGTATCAAATAAACAAGAAATGAAGATCAAAGAAGAAAGACCTGAAACAGAAGAAGCAAGTGGAAGTATCGTAGGACCAGATATTAGAACGGGAGAAAAATGATCATATAAAGAAAAGAAAAAGGAACAAACAAATGGAGGAAACCAAGAGAAGTAGAAAGAAAATTAAGATACACATGTGAACTGGAACTTGTTGCAGGCATAGAATCAACAAAAGTGCTAGAGATGGTAGAGGAAACATGTATCACTTTCAACTCTTTCTTGGGAGTAAGAGTGGAAAGAGATACAGTGGGAAAAAAGAGAGCAATCATTACCAATTTTGGTAATCCTATTGACATGCAGGAGGCATGTGATATTAACTTTGATTCAGACGAAAAAAGAGAATATCTAATTCCAGTAAAACAAAGGAACCACCAATTACAAAAGAAAAATACTGTGATAGTCAGGAACATCCCCCTTTCAGCAAGTAAGGGAACAATCAAGATAGCATTAAAAAAGTTTGGGTACATTCATATCATATATATTCAATCAGTAGAAATGTGGCAAACAGCAACAATGACATTTAAAAAAGAAAGAGATGTACAACTACTAGCCGAAATGTGGTCAATTCCATTTGAAAAGGAATACTTGAGAATATTGCCAAAATAGGAAGAGAAGGAGGAACTTGTAAAAAGATTCAAATACATACACAAACTTGCAGGATTGCCAGCAAGTACTACTGCATATAACCTAGAAGAGATAGCAAGAGAAACAGGAGGAAAAACCTTGATATTCCAAGAACAGGTTTTAGATAATTAAGGAAAAGATTCGCATACATTTCTTTTGAAACAGAGGAGTAACTAAAAGCTATAGAAAAACAAACCTTCAAGCTGGACAGAACAACAGTCTATTTTGTGGACCAATATGAAAGACTATGTTACAAATATGGACAAAGTAAACACATTGCCTTTCAATGTGAAGAGGTGAGAATCCAGTGAGACAAATCCATCGCACAAGCGAAATTTGTGTCAATACAATTAAAATTCAGAAAGGGACCAGAAAAGGAGGCACCCATATCTTTCGTAGAAATCCTGAAAAAGCGAAGCAAATCCAGATCAGAATATAAAGAAGAAAATAAAGAACAAGAAGGGATGAGGAAGAGGTTGAGCAACCTAGAAGTGAAAATCAGAAATATGAAAAACAAGATTAATATCCTATAGAAGTGGTGGATGGCAGCACAAGAAGAGCAAAAAGAAAAAGAACAAAAAAATAAAGAAGAAGAAGAGCAACAAACACAATACCAGAATACAGAAGAAATAAATATCGAGGAAGAGGAAATTCCTTTGACAACATACAAGACAATTAATGACGAAGTGGTGGAAAGACAAAACAAACTAGAGAAACAAATAGAGCAGATGGGAAGAATACTAACAAAATTGTTGGAAAATGATCAGGCTGCAATCACAAAAAAGAAACAACAGTCGCAGGGACAATAGGGAAGGAACTGTACCATAACAAATCACAAATAAAAATATGACATTACAACAAGAAAACAGCAAAAATAATAAAAAAAACATTAATACATACAAAGAAAAAAGAACAAATGTGAAAAATATAAAAATCATGACAATAAATATAAATGGTTTAAATGAAGAGTTCAAAAAACAACAATTGCAACACTATTATTACCAGGGCGACATAACCATAATAGGAGTATCTGACACCAAATTCAAAAGTACGACAAACAAAAAAACAATAGAAGACAGTAAATATAAAACATTTTGGACACATACCAAGAAACATTCAGGGAAAGTAGGCCTAATAGTACAAAGAGACTGGGCCAAACATATTGGAAAGATAACAAAATGGCAAGGAAGGATTCTGGCCATAGAACTAATTTTTAAAGAAAAATGAAATATAGGAGTAATACAAGTATATGTTTCACTACAACTAAATGAAGAAAGGAAAAAGATGACAAGAGAAATATGAAAAATTTTAAGAGAATGGAGGAGGAGACAAGTAATGGGTATAATTGTTATGAGGGATATGAATACAATAACTAAGGATGATATAGATAGAACAGGAGGGAAGGAACCAAAAGAGAAAAAAGAATGGATCAAAATATTTAAAGAATTCGAACTGTATGATACATATAGACAGCACAACAAAAACATAAAAAAGTATACTTGGGGCAATGAAACAAAAAGCAGAATAGATATGATATGGCTTTCAGAAGACATGAAAAAGTTATGCAAGGGAGCAAATATAATCGATACAAGACAACAGCTAAACATGGATCACAAGGCAGTGGCTGCAAAGAAAGACCTATATACAATTATAAAAGGAATAATAAGAGTATGAACAACAAATGAAAGACAAATGTACAATTACAAGCAGATGAATAAAACAAAATGAAAAGAGTAAAGAAAAGCAATAGAACAAATAGAAGAATAGAAGAAACAGAGAAGCAACCAGAGAATAGAAAAACTGAAAAAGAAATATTGGAAACAAATAATAAATGGAAGGCTTTAAAGGAATGATGGAAAAAATAGCAGAAAAAGTCATCCATAAAAAGACCCTGAAGACAGATATATAGACTTTTAGTAAAAAGATAAAAACAGCACAATTCACAGCCTTTAGAAAACTAAACAGAGCAATAGATACTGCGAAAGAGATGGAGGAGAAAGAAAAAGTAGGAGATAAGTCAGAAGCAACCGAAAAAAGAGACAGAATCAACAAATGTATAAAAGTATTGCCAGAAACGAGAATAAAACTAAGATACTTGAATGGAACTGACAAAGTTAGAGAATGGAGAATAGAAATGGAACAAAAGAAGAGGATGTGAAAGGGAAATTGCATGGTCACATGAGTCTATGCAATGATGATCCCAAAAATAACAAATCTGAGAAAAATGAAATATCTGTAATATATTTCTTTTCTTTGATTTTTTTGATTTCTTTGATTTATTTCAGATATTTAATATAGTTGAGAAATTAGATATATTAGCGATAGTTGAGATAGTTAATATATTTGATATAATTTTTTGTAACTAGCATGTATATTAAGCAAGAGAAAATGTCTGAATAAAATTAACAATTAACAGCAATTAACATCTAATTGCTAAACATCTAATTGTTCAAATAAACTACTATTTAAATATGTGGCATTTGAAGTTGAAACTGTGACCATAAAGGACTTTGGAAGAGTTTCAGAGTAGTTGAAAGTGTAAATGCTTATTGCTACAACAGGAACTTAAGTATAGTTTGAGTAGATGAATGTGTATGCTAATGGATGGAAATTGAGTTTATTTTTGTAGAGTAAGAAAGATACTCAGACCAAATTATTATGTCTCAGCCTTAACAAATTTAATTATTAGAGAGAACCTCGAAAGACCCTCACAAGGGATATTAGAAAACTGTATGAAATTGAAGCCAAAACTATAAAAAAACAATGGATTTTGGAAGCTATAAAAAAAAGAGCAGAAAGATGGCAAGAAAGCAAGAAATGGAAAAATCTAATATCAAGTATTTTTGCATGTAATTCAGTAAAGGAGCAAATTGATAGGGTGTGGAATCAGGTCACAGAACATATGGAACTAGAAGAGGAGAAAGTTAAAGACCTGATACAGGAGCATTTTGACCAGCAAATAGAATTAGAAAGTGGAAACTGGAAGAGTATTGGAGAAACTAGCTGGAGGAATATAAAAATCCGATGGTTAAAATAAAAGATAAGGAAAAAAACAAATTACTGGAGCCAATATCAAAAGAAGAGCTCAAAGAGGTGATTAAGGGAACAGCAAATGGCAAGGCATCTGAAGTATCAGAAGTATCATATGAAATGTTAAAAAATTGTGGAGAGAAAGAGCAAGACTGCTTTAGAGATTTGCTTAATAATATTCTTAAAGATGGAAAAACACTAGAAGAGTGAAAACACTCATGAATCTATCTGATTCCAAAAATAGAGAACTGGCAAGGTCAAATGAACAAATTAAGATCAATAGCATTAATAGAAACAGAAAGAAGAATTTTCTCCAAAATAATCATAAAAAGAATGGATGCAGTAATAACAGCAAACAAAATTCTACAAGAAAATAATTAGACAGGTACAACAGGTGGAACAACAACCAAACCGAGAATAATCCTATAAATAATGATAAAGAATGCACAAGTAAATAAAAAAGAAATGTGGATCCTGCTCCAAGACACTAAGAAAGCATTCGATTCAATAGGAAAAAAAGCATTAGAAATAACTTTAGAAAAAATAGAAATTTTAGTGAAACTGGTAAAGATAATTTTGAAGATGAAAGAGAATAGATCTGTGGATGTAATCACGAAGTATAGGATAATGCAAGAGTATAGAATCAAGGATGGATTGGATTAAAGGGATCCTATGTCACCATTGCTGTAGAAAATATTTTACGACCCATTGATTAGTAAAATAAACAAAATGGAATATGGCTATAAGATAAACAATAAATGGATAAGAGATTTTGGCACAAATGTGATAGAGGAAAAGGAAATTACCTTAGAAAATATAGTCTATATAGATGATACAACTTGAATAGCAAAGGGAAAAAAGGAAATGGAAAGAATATTACAAATAGCAGAGGAGTTCTACTATATAAATGATATAGAAGTAAATGCAGAAAAATCCAAACTAATAGTATTCAACACAAAAAGAAAGGAACCGAAAGTGAACCTAATGGACAAATAAATCATAGCAAGTAAAGAAGAAAAAGCAGAAAGATTCCTGGGATCATGGGTACAAAAGAAAACCAGGCAAGCCTATGCAAGATAAAAAGATGAATCAAACAATAATACATAACCTCAACACAATAAGAAAAAAAATATTAGCGGAAATAGTCAAATATTTAATAAATGGTGTGATCTTACCAGCAATTAAATACCTAGTAACAGACACCTACGTAAAAGAAAGCATGATAGCAAAATGGCAAAGATCAGTAGATGGGGTATATAAACAAAAGAACAGCCTAGCGAGTAGCTTTCCAAGCAACGCTTTAAGGAGTCAAATGTTAAGCAACATTAAGAGCATTAAAGAGAGAATAGTATTAACGAGACTAAATTGTTTAGAAATGATAATAGAGGACAAAGGTATATTGGGTGAAATAGGAGAGATAAGGCTTTCACAATTACAAGAAAAAGTATGGTCAACAAGAAAAGTAATACAAAACAAGCAAGAACTAAAAAAAGAAAGAAAGAGATGCATATTGACAGATATGATATATGAGTACCAAAGTCAAGGCTTTAATATAGAAACAAGAAGATGGAATAAAATAATGGAAAAGAAGGAGGGAAATATTACAATAGAAGAGATATTAAATGAACAAATCTATAAAAAACAAAAAGAAAATGGAATATGCTATATATGGAATAACTAATCAAAGACAGCAAGTTAGAACTGCTGAAATAGGAAAGAATCAACCCAGGATATGGAAAGAAAAGAAAAAAGCCCAGATAGTACAGTATAATGGAAGAAAATTAAAATGAGATCCAAAAGAAAATAACAAAAAAAGTAAATCAAAAAAGTCAATGGAAACACATAGCAATACCCAAAAAAAATAAAGAGATACAGATGAAAAGAATAAAATGGATTGCTTTCAGAAATAGGAAACAAGTAATAGTGGGTAAGAAGAAAAGAAAAATCAACGAGGAGGAAGCAAGGATCCTGCATTACAAAGAACAAGGAAAACATTAAGAATTAAAAAAATGTAAGAAGTGTGAATTAAATGAATACAGTAAGGAGAAAATTTGTCAATTCAACAAGAAAATAGCAGAGACATGGTACCTGGCAGTCAAAAAAGTCAAAATAGAAGAAAAGAGTAAGATATAGTATATCAGAATACAAATACAAGAGCCTAAAGAAGAATTATTGACAAAAGAAACCACAGAGAACAAAAAGAAAAGGAAGAGGTTGAAAGAGTACGAGGACAAGAAAATATATATAGATGCAGCATGGGACAAGAAAAGAAAGAAGAGCACAGGAGTATAGAAGTATTTTAAGAATGGGAAAGAAATTAAAAGAGGTACATGGAAGAATATAATGTAAAGTGTGATGCAAGCAGAATTAAAGACAATAATAGCAGGCATTAAACAAATTGATACAAAGAAAGATATAAGAATAATAACAGATCTAAAACTAGCAGAACAGTACATAAATGAAAGTGAAAAAATGAAAAAAGAATTACAAAGATACAATAAGGAGGGAGCAGTACTGGCCAAGTTAGGTGCAACAATAAGAAAGAAAGAAGAGTTCAGTTTGATAGCAGAATGAATAAGCGAAGAAAAACAAGATCAAATTTTCAAAGAAGTGGATAGTGAAACGAAAGAGCAACAAAAGCAATCGAATATTACAAAAGAGAAAACAAAGACCAAAAAAGACAGAGGTATAATATGGGGGGAAGGAATACAAAATTGGGGCTGAAAAAAGATATGAAAAATCAGTAACAAATTAAAAATATCATAGTATGGCTAAAAGT